AGACATAGAGGCCAAATAATAAACATGTTGGATACTGGTTGAAAACGGGTGGGTTTAAGTCTTGTTTGTTGTGCCCACTTGTTGGTTTATTTTATGCATTGCAACTTGTGAATAGAAATCACTTGTGCATTTTTTCTCTGTAATAATCTCTATCTACTCCATTTGATCTGTAAGGAGGTGTTTCTCCACTTATTTATGTTTTCTATAAATTTTTTGGTCAACTCAAGGTATTTTAAGCTTTGTGCTGTTGTTATCTCATAGTTCACTCTCGGCATCAGCCAACAACAAATGAAGATTTGTCATCAATGCAAGCACAAGGTGAAGGAAAGGTATTTAAAATATTGCAAGTATCTGAGACCCACATGATGAGGAAAAGTTTTGTAAATGTGGAGGCCAATTATTCCTGCTTATCTACAATGCCAAATTATGCGTGTAGCTTTGTAGCCACAAGTATGGGCTATTGATTCTTTAGCTATTTATTTTTAATGGTATTAAGTGGTAAACTGCCTTGACTTTACCTCAAAAATTGGGAATTTAAAGTCATTTTTAGTCAGTAGTACAGAAATGAGCCTAGTAAGGTAGTTTTAAAAAATTTGGTGAATAAAGATACTGCTACAAGATGATCAATTTGATTTAAGTTGACAGTATCTGACATTGGGCATTGTCTGCTTTCACCTTTTCAGTGATATTGCTACTGCATTTGACTTGAATGCACAAATTGAAGCCAGGCTGCTCCCCAATGTCAAACACTGATATTCAAATGCGAGTCACTGGCCGAGGAAGAATGTGTGATAAAGTTTTCTTTTGACCGAATGTTATTTTATTCTTCCTTACCTATTCAACAAGTTAATGTTGGATCAAATTACATCAGTTTAATTAATGTGTAGGGAATTAAGATTTCCCTTCATTAATTGAGTACTTACTTCTTGAAAGACAAATCCATTGTTACCTTAAAGATTTTTCAAACTTTTTGATTCTTTTCATTCCTGAAGTCCCAATATTACTGTGGTCTTTGCATGGAAAATGTTCAGACAAATAGCTGCTGCCAAAGAACAGCACACAAGGACTGTTTGTATGCATGTGGGTGGAGCCTTACAAATTGTAACTGGTGAGTTTGAAAATATTGATTTGCTTATTGATTCAAAATGTCAATTTTTTGGCGGAAAAAGCAGAAGCAAAAATATAAAATATCATGGTAGGTGATGTGCATGTGAAATTCTGTATGTGCAATAAAATTACTGAAGTCTTTTAAAAATTTAACTTGCATGTCATTTTGCTTTTTTGGTGTTTGTACCACAGAAAGCCTTTGAAAGTGTTCCCACCCAATTTCTGAAAATACAGTCAATGAAGAAAACTGCATTAATTTTGTTTATCCAATATGGGTTCTTATTTGTCCATTTATCTCAAGAAAAGCACAAGTAAAACACAAAACATGCAATTTTTATTACATTTTGTTCTTACATTGAATATTTGTCAGCATTGAAGCACACAATGGGGCAAGTTTCACTAGCAGAATGTTATTATTATGTACATAGCTTAAATTGGCAAATTTCCCATAAATTGGCATCAATTTTATTAGAAGATTTTGCTAGTTAAGTACTTATTATAAACATTTTTGAAACAGTTTGATCATATTGAGAATGGTATTGGAGTGCCATTATCATGTTTGCATGTTTATCAATAGTGTATTTATGATGCTGTATACATTATAAACATT